ATGGACTGATAAAAGAATGCATATTTTGCATGCACTGGACACTAATTTTCTGAAGGCAAGCTCCAAAATTTTCTTTTGGATTTTCATCAAGTCAAAGAAAGGCAAAATGGCCAGGTAATTGCGAATAAGTTAAATAACATCATTTGAGCCAAATCAACTCAGAACAAAGCTAGAATTTGTTGTTACCAATTAAGCCTCAAATAAGAAAAAATCTTTTGATGTGCTCAGTGAGAGACAGGCAAATAAGAGTAAAGGAGAATCTGAACATATTGTTATAGTTGATGATAAAGATATGTGGAATGGTCTGCATGAAGAAAACCAAGTCATTGTAGCTTGATAGCTTTGTAAACAAAGCTATCAAGCAACATGCAACTGAAAGGTTAGCATGCTATGCATATTCATTGTAGCTGTGTGTTGAAGATGGACTAACTCATCTAAAAACAGCTAACAGTTTATTAGCCAAATGCTCAATGTTGGCAAATTCAACACATCAAAGCACCCTTTTTCATGGAGATTTTGAGTTGAAATTTGGAAAGGATGCTCAAAGAATGTTGTTCCTTTGTCACCAACTATGTTACTGCTTTCATGGAAAAAAATAGTTTTATTTGCATCAAGCATATATGGAAAAAATGCATAATTAAGCCATAATCTGCCAAATATTACAATATTATAAACCCTCTGCTAGAGAAGCTTTTTTGTCTTCCAGCTTCTTTTGCACCATTAGAGCGGGTATTCAGCCAGAGGGATTTAATTATGTGACCAAAATGTGCCAGACTGGTTGATACTATGTTGAAGAATATGGCTACTGGATACTATGTTGAATAATGTTGATACTATGTTGATACTATGTTGAAGAATACTATGTTGATACTATGTTGAAGAATATGGCTACCATGGCTGCTATACGTTCTTAGATTTTTTATTGGTAGTTTTTTTTAGCAATACAAAAAAAGTTGTTTTGAAATAAAAAAATTTATCTGTAAATAGTAAAATATTACACCAACTAAGGGCCTAATAGTATACAAACATGTGTGAGTATGAGTCTTGTTGTTTTAGACTACTTAGAACGTAAGTCTTGATCTTGACCTTGGTTAAATTTTTGATATCTTGGTCTTAAAGCATTCAGTCTTGGTCTTAAGCCCTTTGTCTTGGTCTTGGCCTTTACTATCTTGACGATTTTTCTGCCAAATAAACCTGTCAATATGAAAATTTCAATGATATTTGTTACAGATATAGTGTATTGTGGTGGATTACTTTTTCAAATATTTTAGTTCCTTGATTGTTTATTAACACTAAGAAAATAGCAACAAAAAATTTCTATTAGTATTATATTAAACTTAGATTAAAGAAACTAAAGTAAAAAGATTGAAAAAATTTAATCTTCTTACTTTAGTTTCATTTTTATTCTTTATTTGATACCTTAAATTTGAAATCACCAGTTTAAAAATTTTTATTTCCTAATATCTTACTTTTATATTTCTAAATTGTATGTTTTTATGTGTTTTTTAATGTATGTTATTTTGCTTTTATTTTTTTGTTTATTTAAATTTTTTTTAGAAAAGGTAAAATTGTTAAAATGAATACATATATTTTTTTTATTTTAGAGTCTGAAATCCTTGTCACTTTTTTGTCAAATCACTCTTGTTGCATTCTTAGAAATGATTTTGAAAGTCAAACCTCAAAACCTGGTGTTTAACTTTTTAATCATAAACTAAGAGACAAAACAAATTAGGAACTACAAAGCGTGCGGATTTCAAATTTGAAGACTGCAAAAAAACAAGAACAATCAAAAGCTACTTTAAGGTAAGTTGTACATTTTTTATTAATACATATCCACTTTCATGAAAGCTGTAAGCAGACATCATAATACATATTATTTAGAAAGTGAGTATTAGTAGTACTAATTTACCTAGCATAAAAGAAAAAGTATGTTATTTATGCTTCATATGAAATAGTAAACAAGCTTAAAGGGTTAATTTTAATAGTGTTCACTTGACATCTGGGGTAATGGTAATCGCCATAACACCATTAATTTATATTTTCAAAATACAAAATGTTTTTAGAATATTATAAAAATTATTTGATTTGCTATATCTTTTCATAGTTTCTAGTTTAGTTTTTTTTTTCTTTAACATCTTTACTTTCAACTAGGCTGCAAGCAACCACTTTTAGAGTTGGAAATTACTGGAAGTGAAAATATGAAGTTATTAGAGCAAGATAACGATTAACAGACAATTTAAAAGATAGCAAATTATACAAATTGGTGAAATAAGATAAAGGAAGCAAATTCCAAATAACTGATGTTCGAAGAAAAAAATTAGACTTATAAGATTTTTTGGGGCACTTAGGAACAGTTACTGTAAAAGGATGAGACTTAATTGAATGACCAAAATGAATTTTAGTAGGAGCAGTTTCAACTATGTTTACATAGTTATATATTTACATGTTACAGACTCAGTACTTTTTTTAACTTTCTGAAAACAATACTCTGTTCTTTAATTGTGCTATTCAAGATTTTCTGCTTGCATCTTTATTAACTAATCATTTAATAATTGACCATAAATCCTCCATTGGACTTGATTCTATAACATTGACAAGATTTTTTTTTAGTACAAAAATGACTTTACTTTTTTAAAGGAATCTTAAACAAATAAAACAAGATCTGGCCAAAACACACATAGATTGTGCCATTGATGTTTCTTTTTATAACTTTTAATACAATCTTCTCAGTAAGTTTTTTTATTGATTGATAGTAGGTTTCTTCAGATTTTTATGATTTTTATGAGCATATGAAGCTGATATTTTGAATTTACTAGCTGTGATACTTGATCATGTTGACCATAACACTAATTTTAAAGCTTTAACTTTTTTCTGAGGAATTTTATTTTCTTTTTTGCTTGATCAATGGCTTTTAACGTCGTCAGGTTTTTCATTTTCATGTTGAATAAACAATGTTTTAATAAATAAAATATGTTAGTGATTGTAACTTAGTCCAAGTGACAGTGAATGTTATACATTATTATGTAATATTAATTAACAATTCCAGTCCGATATTAATTAACAAAAATTATTATGATAATAATTTTCTGGCACTTACAAAATTATTTTCATAACATACAATGGTAAACAATTAATAATATTGTATGTATTAAATAATATGCAATACTGTATATATTAATTTATTAAGAAGATTGTATGAATAAACATGACACAAAACATTGATTCAAGATTCAAACTACTACTCTTCTATTACCATATGTAAATTTTTTGAATTTGTTGTCATTGCCCAGTGCTACCAATTCTCTAACAGATCAGAGAGATCATGACATATAGAGAAATGGACAATTATTATTTTAGCTTCATATTACTATTATATTTGGTATCATTGTTTTGGTAGTAGCCAATAATTTGCAAGAGTGTGAATCAGATCATAACAGGGAGCATTTGTTTAGTGGAAATATGGTTTTACTTGAACAAGAGGGTAACCATAATACTTTATTAAACAAAAAAGATTTAAAAACAATTTCAAACTGTTAAACAAAAAAATTATTAATTTTTTGATAAAATCTGGAACTAGTCCAACAAATTTCAAGTCTAAAGCTGATCCTAATCCATCTGTCAATGTGATAAGATAATTGATAATGTAGGGAAGTTGCAATTGTGCTGTGAGAATTAGTAGTATAAAGAAACACAGATGTATCTCAAATTTGAAAGCAAATTTATTTAGCTGAAAACATTCTGGCAGATTTATAAGTCATTTTTTTTTTTGCAATGGCAGTTATGAGATCTACCCAAAATATATTTTTAAACACAATTTCCCTTGCATTTCGCTTAAATATTAAGTTTGAGAACCCTAAAAGTCTTCTATTACTTTGTCTATGGATTTTTCATGTTTCCAAATATTTTCAAGATTCTAATACTTTGAAAACTAGTCTGATAAACATTAGATTCAACATTTATGCTTTGTATAATTAAATATTAATCATAATTTATCAAATATTAATCAAATATTAATATTAATCAAATAAAATAATATTAAATATTATTATTAATCAAATAAAATAACCAAATAATATTAATCAAATATTAATAGAACCAAAAAAGATTTTTAGATTTCAAACAATAGATAAAATTGTAAAAAATATAAAAAAAAACACATAAATAATTTACCAAGAAAAATAATTATTATCAAAATAATAACAAAAACTTAAAAAATATTAAATGAAAACTTACCATTAAATTAAATTGCTTAGGCTTGTTGTAAATCTCAAACTTAATCCCTTTTGGTTTTAAACTATTAGTTTATGATTCAAAAGTTAAACATCAGATTCTGAAGTTTAACTATTTAAATCATTGCTAACAGGAACAGTTGAGGTAGCTATGAACAGTAACCCTAAATAAGACGAGAAAAATTAGATATTGCAATAACACTTAAAACTTGATTGATGTGTGTTTTATATATCTATATATATATATATATATAATATATATATATATATATATATACTATATATATATAATATATATATATATATATAATATATATATATATATATACTATATATATATATATATATATATATATATATAATATATATATATATATATATATATATATATATATATATATATATATATATATATATATATATATATAAATATATATATATATATATATATACATATATATATATATATATATATATATACATATATATATATATATATCAGGGCTCGAACTAAGTGATCGCGAATTGCGATATCTGGAAATGCTTCCGGTCTTCCGGTAAAATTTTAGCTTTTTAAAAACCATAAAACTGTTTTGATCTCTAAACTTAATAGATATCATTTAATAAGAAATATTTACATTGATTATGATATAAAATCTTAATGTAAAACCATATTATCACTATTATTTTTATTATTATTAAAGATTATAATTTAAACTTTAATATTTTAATTTATTTGCAATTTTTGTCTTTACCAATGGCTCTAGCATTATTGGTATCGTGTTCACATGAGTTTTTATATCAAGATGAAATTTAATTTCTTTTCCAAGTAGAGCTTTAACTTTTAATTGAATAACTTGATTGTGAACACTTGACAATTTGATGTACTTTAATCAATTTGTGTGAGTTTTTAAGTTAAATCATTTTAGTAAACATCTTCACACTTATTATTTATAACTTTAAATTGGTGTTTTGTCAAAAGAGTCATTTTCATTATTATTAAAATCACAGGCCCCGCTTGAGTCTTGCTTTTGCAGAAGCCTCATTACATTGCTTTTGTTAGCGGGGAGTTAAAATCATTTCAAGCTATTGACTGTGAAATTTATTTATTTCTAGTTATGGCTCAAATTGAAATGCTATTCGTAGCTAAATCAGAGACAATATTTTGAAGCTTCTTTTGCACAAAGAAGTTGCTAACAGTTTTTTCATCTCTTCTCACTTGCTCTTTCTTTTCTGTTAACATAATGGTATATTTGTTTTCTGTTAACCATTTCCTTGCTATTAAACATTATTCTTTGTTTCTTAGTAACTCTTAACTGGTTGATTGCAGAGAGATTTTTTTCGCGCGGAGATTTTCTTTCAACCTAAAACATTTTTGAATTTAAATTACATTAAATCTCAGCGTGGAAAATTTTTACAAGGTCGTTAAAGCGAAAAGTTGAAAAGTTGGTTTTTATCTTTGTTTATCAAAACTTCATGTTTAAAATAATGCTTAAAAACGTTAGAGCAAAAAAAATCGACTAAGAGAGAATTAGTATTTAAAAACAAAAAAAAAAAATATTTGCCATATCTAATAGCATCCATCTAACAACATTGGTAAATACAATGAAGTGTAATAATATGTCTAACAACATCTGTAATTACATATTTAATAACATCTGTATAAAAAAAAATATGAATATTACTGATGTAGTTATATCTTTTCAATTATCTAAGTACAACAGCATCTGCGGTAAAGGTGCAGTGCTTGCTTTATAAGCAAGAAGTGCCAAGTTCAACCCTTACTATGTTCCTAGTAGTACTGTGCTTAACTAATTTATTCTAGTTTGACTGCACCAGTTGCACCACCTCTGCAGCATCTCTGACCATATTGTTACTACTACTGTTTTACTACTGTAGAAACTACTGTTTTATGATAAATAAAGTAAAAATATAGTTTTGTTTGTTAGAAAGTAGTGCTAATAAATAGCAAAAAAGTTAGTTTAATGACTACTGTGTTATGATGAATAAAGTAAAAAAATAGTTCTGTTTGTAAGAAAGTATTGCTAATGTAATAAAATTTTTTATGTAAACAGGGTGCAACAAATCGACAAACGTGCAAACGTTTGTTAAAAAAAAGGATAGAAAAACAAACGTCACGTTTCCTTAATTTTACTTAAGCAAACGTTGGCACTCAACAACTTTAAAAGAAACCATGCTAATACTTTCTTAAAGGGATCCCTAAGTGTTCCTAACATATGATCTCATATGAAAGAGCATAAAAAAAAAATGTAAGTTTTTTTTTCTTTTTCCCTAAATTGTAATAATAAATGCATGCTAACAAAAAGCAATTGTCAAAATCACTAAAAAACAACTCCATTTTGATTCTATTTTTTCACCATTGAAACTCGATTGTTAGTCGTTAAAAATCACGTTAGTACGTCACAACAACTTTAGAATATCTACTTCGATTTTCAAGTAAAAAAAAGTCGTGATTAAAAAGTTAAGTTTTAATCAAGTTTTTTAAATTAGTTTTGCATAAACAGTATAATAGCATTCGGTTGAGAGACGTCGTTAAAAAAAAGTTATTAAGTAATAGTTTTAAATAGTTTAGAACTTATAAAAAATTCTTACAGGGCTCGTATTAAGCGTATCGCGATCGCGATTGCTACACACACTTTTGTGATTAGTTTTTTCTTAAAAAAATCTTTTCGCGACTCGTTTTTTTTTTTGGTTGATTAATTACTTTTTTCTAGCTTAGCATTTTTTTTAATAACTCTTAAAAGTAATGTTTTTATCATAAAGAACTTCACACAAAATTTTTTATTCTGAATAGATAATTTGCTCTTTCGCGCGGAGATTTTCTGTCAACCTAAAACATTTTTGAATTTAAATTACATTAAATCTCAGCGTGGAAAATTTTTACAAGGTCGTTAAAGCGAAAAGTTGAAAAGTTGGTTTTTATCTTTGTTTATCAAAACTTCATGTTTAAAATAATGCTTAAAAACGTTAGAGCAAAAAAATGACTAACTTTTATTTGCATTTTCATACTGTTTGAAAAAAAAAACTAATAAAAAAGAATTAATATATAATTATTAATTAATATATTATTAGTTAATTCTTTTTTATTAGTTTTTTTTTTCAAACAGTATAAAAATGCTAATAAAATCCAGCAATTTTTTTACTTTAACGTTTTTAAGCCTTATTTTAAACATGAACTATAACTCGATTTATTTAACCAAATTTTTTTGTTTTATCTTTTATTGGAAAACTTGAAATAGAAAAATTGAATAAAAACATCAACCATTGAAATGAAAAACTTAATTATATTTAAACTTTTATTAGTCCGTTATTCAAGAAACAATAAATTATAAAAAACGTGGTATCTAATTTTTTATTAAATTTTTGACGTTGTTTTTTGATTTATTGACGATAATTTCCCCCCCCCCCCATTACCGCACATCGGCGCGAGCTATAAGAGAGAGGGGAGGGGGGAAGGAGAGAGCTATAAGAGAGAGGGGAGAGAGCAAAAAAATTTTATATATATATATATATATATATATATATATATATATATATATATATATATATATATATATATATATATTATATATATATATATATATTATATATATATATATATATATATATATATATATATATATATATATATATATATATATAAGGGGGAAAGAGCAAAAAAAAAAAAAAATTTTTTTGCGATTAGATTTTTTTGCGTTAATTCGAGCCTTGTCTTTCTTTTTTAATTTCTAATAAAATGTCTATTCAACCTTTTCAATTTGAACCAAAAAAATATAGCAATTTAACATAAATGTTAATTTAACTAAAACATTTTACAATCATTATTTTTTTTATCAAGCAAAAATGAGAGTAACCGTCACTTTTGAGAAACCATAAAAATTACTGAAATAAATTTATTTTTTTACTAAGGAAATATTTTAAATAAACTTTCATATGTCTAAGTCAATATTCATTTATTTTTAATTGACTAAAAAGAGTTTAAAATTTGACTTCTATTCAATTTTAGCCGTGGAATAGCCCTTATAACACAAATATATAAATTAATACTATAAAAAAAAATTTAATATACAAATATATTTTCACAAAATGCTACAAAACTTATTCTTGTAAGTAATTATGTGTTAGTTGAAAAAAAACGACTTTACTTTTAAATTTAACTACCAATTAATAAGTTTGCAATAATGACATTTTGTCTACTTTGTTTAATTTGACGTACTAACGTTAGTTTTTTGAGGCAATAGAGTAAATAAACTTTGGACAAGGCGCATTTTTTTTAATCAAAGAAAAGCGTTTTTTTGAAAATTATATTTGTTAGTGTGTGTTCATTATTACGTTTTAGAAAAAATAATATACATCAAACATTTTTTTTTTAATGCTCTATCATATGAGATCATATCTTTATAGCACTTAGGGATCCCTTTAACACCCTCGTAGTGAAATGCTACATTCTTATAAATATTTGAACCTAAAAAACAATGATTATATTTTGTATGAAAAAGTTTAAATTAAATTTTCTTACTTTGCAGCATATACAACTGGTGTATAAGTTGACATAAGGGACGGGACATGTGCCACGCTAAACGCCCCTCCTCCCCCTGCCCAGTCGTATCCAATCTAAAAAAAAATTTCAAAAGATATTTGAAAAATGGTTTTAAATTGAGTTTATTGGAAAAGAGAAGCAAGTATTCAAGATTATTTTTATATGTTAGTACGGGTAGGGGCGTGTGCTACACCCAATGCCCCCCTTCCCTTCTCATTCAAACTTGAAAAAAATGTCAATAAAATTTTTTTTAATGTTTTTAAATGTTTATTTAAAGAGACATTACTTTACTAATCTTACCACATTACAAAATGCAAGTTGGAGTATCCACCCTAAAAGTAGGCCGAAGATAAAACTAACTTTAAAACTTGTATTTTAAAAAGTTTCAAAATACAAAATACAATAAATTTAAGTCTTGGCTTTTAGTAAATGATATTGTTTAAAATTTCAAGAAGGAAACTAAATAAATCATTCATACATAAACCCAACATACCACTTGTAGCAGATGTAGAAGGGACTAAACTTAAAAATTATTTACAAAAAATACATATTGCAGTCATCGAAAATATATACACACATTAAAAAGTAATAATTGTTAAACTTACCATTCCTTGAAGGCGAAGATATAACCAAAAATTCAAAATTTGTAATAAAAAATTAAAAAACTAAATACTGACTTTGAAATTGGTAATCTTTGAAATCTATCCACAGATTAAAAAGTACTAGATAATTATCTCTATAATCATTTACACATACAAACTTATACAAACTTACCAGTGATTGTCTGTGTAGATTCAACAAAAAATAGTTAAAAAAAAATTGTATACAAAGTAATTTGAAATTCTCAACAGTAAGTTACAGATGTAACAATCATTAAAGCTGCTCTGCTTTAAAATGTAATACAAAACAATGATTAGTGAAAGTGATAGGATGAATAAATAACATGAACAACATATTAATCAATGATAGCTTTTAAAATGTTAATGAGAGTAATAATTTCATTATACCACACTTTGAGGGATAACACAATACTAATGAATTAAATAGTGTATATAAATAGGAACATAAATTCAATAACCATTCAGAAACATTTCTAAATCATAAATTTACCAGTAGAAAGTTGTGCACATGGAACTAAAGATGAAAAAAAAGTGTTATAATAATTTGCAATTGATAAAGAGAGGTGTATACATGTACAGAGGAAAGGTGTATACATTGCAAATAATAGTTTTTAAACTTACTACTCATAATAGCCGCTGAAGATGTAACTAAAGGTTATCAAAGTTGTAATTAAAACAGACACCGAATTGCCAAGAAATGCTTAAACGTATTGAAAAGTAAAAATTTGTAAACATACCACTTATAGCAGAAGTAGAAGGAACTAAAGTTAAAAATTATTTAATAAAAAATTATATATTGCAGTCATCAAAAATATATACACATATTAAAAAATAATAGTTGTTAAACTTACCATTCGTTGAAGTCGAAGGTGTAACTAAAATTCAAAATTTGTAATAAAAAATAAATATTGCAAATAATGACTTAGAAGTTGGTAATCGCTAAAATCTATTCACAAAAAAAGTAATCCCTAATTCTATAACCATTAACATATACAAACTTATAAAAACTTACCAGTGGTAGGCTGTGTAGATTCGACTAAAGAAAAAAAAAATTGTACACAATAACTTGAAATTGTCAACAGTAAGTTACTAATGTAACAATCATCAAAGCTGCTCTGTATAAGGTGCAATTACTGTACTCACAAAATAAATATAAACAATATAAATACAACTATTAAAATATAAAGATAATATTTTTATAAGCAACAAGCTAACATTAGCAATGGTTATATACTTATGTAAACAGTAAACACAGATAAAGATTAGCTTTATCTGTGACACATATAACACAGATAAAGATTATCTTTAAAAGATAGTATACAATAAGTAAAAAATGTTAACCTAAGTTTTTTAAGTGTTTTTATATTTAGGAAGATATTTTAAATGTTCATTAACATTTACTTATTGTATACTATTTTCACTTTGTGATTAAATGTTTTTTTAATGAATAAACTTAAAATTTATGTGATTTATACTTAC